GAGCTCGCGACCGGAGGCGACTGCAAGCGCGACTGCCGCAGCCACGTGTTCCGCGGCTTGGACGCCACCTACCGGCGAGTCCGGAAATCCTGCCTGAAAGAGAAGTCGCCCGTCCTCTCGTGCCTTCGGGGGCCGAGCCCAAGGAATAATTCGCTGCTACGGAAACGTGAGTCCACAAAATTGATCAATTTAACGGAATTGATTGATACATTAGTTGCTAAATGAATGTTATGAAGTTAATGTGCTATGTGTTATTTTTTAATGAATAATCGGTTGTTGAATTGCGTTGCTACCTTAATTTAACTGAATTAATAATGGATCCTTATTTGTATATTGCTAAGTTAATTAGTAACAAGTTGCGAAATTAATAAGGTTGTACAGGAAGTAACGATTTGAAGGAGAGACACGAGATTTTAGTGTCAGCACGACGGGAGACGGCGAAAGTTATGTCCGAAACGAAAACGAAAGTCCGGAAGTCGTGGACGCATTCCCGAAACGGGTCGTGCACTGGTCGTGCACTGCGCGAAAGCGACGAGACATCGGATCGACTTGTCCGAACGAATTCGCGTGCCGAATGCGAGTGCTGATATTTTTGGCGGGGAATTTGGCGGGCAGATGTGCACTGCTGCGAGAGAGCCGAGGGAACGGAGTGCCGCGATTCGTGCGTCCGCGCCCTCAAGGAATCCGCGTCCGAGTCCGAGGTCATCGAGTCCATGTCCCTGGGCGGCTGCGGGCTCGTCCTCCCCTACGTGAGCGCCCTCTACCTCCCAGAGAGCCGTAACTCCCGCCGCGACTCACTCCGTGCCTCCCTCCCCGCAGAAGGAGCCGTGGACGTGCTTCCTGAGGAGCGAGTCGAAGCAGGTGGAGGTCGCGCCGGAGGCGAAGGCGCCGCTGGACTCGGCGAAGATGCAGTGCTGCCAGAAGGCGAGGTCCGGCGCGTGCTGGAGTCTCTGCTATCGCACCTTCTCGAGGGAGTGGGATATGTACACGAGGTTCAGCGAGGAGTGCCTCGCTTCCAGGGGAGAGTCCCAGCTCATGCAGTGCATCAATGAAGGTAAGGCAAAATTCATAATAAGTGAAAAATGATATAAATATTAATAACAATATATTGAATAATTAATCAAGTGAATAAGCAAATAATTGGAGGTGTCAAATCAGCGTATCATAATTGAGACTTCACTTTAAATGAAATCTCCCATGAAATGTGAAATTCAGCATTCGCCTGAATCTGAAAAAAAAGTGAACCGATTGAGCTCACCGATTGAGCTCACCGATTGAGCTCACCGATTGACCATTCACCGATGGACTTTCCAAAGTGGAAGAGCCGTGCGAACTCGGCTGCAACGGACTCAGCTTCTGCACCAACTTCAACAACCGCGGCCTGGAGCTGTTCCGGAGCTGCAAGGCCGACAGCGACCTGGCGGCCCGTCTCCAGTGGGACGCCTGGAAGGAGGAGAAGGCGATCCGGCTGCAGGGTGTGGCCCTCCCGGTCGGGGACGTGACGCTGCCGATCGGGGACGTGGCGGGGTGCCTGCCGCACGTGTGGAAGGCGGTCGCCTGCGCCCTGCACGTCAAGCCGTGCCACCAGAGGGGTCACTCCGTGGCTATTTGCAGGTACCTTAACGAGTACTGTGCTAAGTACTAGTACTGTTTTAGAAAATGCTATTTTAATTTGGTTTAAAGAATCACTAAATAAATAATTGATGTAACTATTTCAAGTGACGCCACAAATAATTTTGACAAGTACCCTAA